TTAGGGGATTAATGGTTCAAAAGCCACTAGTGTTTTCTCTCCACTTTTATTGGACTTAGACGTTTGACCATACTGGAACAATGTTTCTGAATGATTCAGTTGTATGCCTTTGCCTCAAATACGAAAAAGACTTTTTGTCTGTTGGGGTTTTTTTTTGAAAAAATATAGCCAATAATATTTAAAACAAAGTATTTTTTCCCAACTGGAAAAAAAGATATCACATGTGTCTGCCTCTAAAACCACTCACTTTCAGCTGCTCCACTTCTTTTCTGGAAAGAAGAAAAGAAAAAAAAAAAACCACATATCTGCCATAAGCTTGTTTGTTCAGGAAGGTAAATAACAGGATAGAATTGTGAGGACATCATCCGCCTAGTTCCAAATTACCAGTTGTCACTGCCCTGAGGCTTTTTTTTTCTATTTATTTCTCTTTAAAAAAAAAAGTATTTACAAAATATCAAAAAGCAACACAATTTAAAATATTTCAGTATATTTATTTTAAAATATTTCACAGTATGTCATATACTTAGACTTTTGCATTTAAAAAGTGGTAAAATGGGAGAAAAACAGAATAGAAAATGAAACGTCTTAAAGACTACTTCTAGGTTTATTTTATTCTGATTAAGACACAGGCTGGACTATAGTCTCTAACTAATTACACAGAATTACTTAAAGTGATAATTTCTAATAAATTCTAAGCATTACGGCACATGAAAACTACTCCCCTCAAAGGGTGTAACTATTAACTCAAAACTTCAGAAATAGCAAACATTAACAGAAAGATTCAAAAAAAGTTGGATACTGTTAGTATTAACAGAATTAAACTTTGTGGAATAAAGGAATTAAACTGATTCTTAATCTTGAGAATTTCTGGTCAGTAAAAAATTCCTTCCACAAAGTGGTATTTTCTGTACTACACAAGAACATCTGCGATAAAACCCATTTGCTATCCTGCATAAGACCTAGCAGGGTATCCACCTTTCCCAGACTGCCAATCTTTTCTTTTTTCTCATGCTTTACATTCACATCTTCTCACAAAAATCACAGGCACTTTTGAGGCACCAACTCCTGTGACTCTTATTAGACTCTTAATTATTTTCTTCTGACATCATCTCTTTTTCAGTATTATCTTAAACTATCTTCTCCCATTCTTATGTATCAGCTCCATAAAGAAGTAAAATTATGGTCATTAGCTTAAGTTTATTACACTAAATCATATAGTTATTTAAGAATATATATTTCACCCTCAGGCATTTTTTTACCTCCAATTTAAAACTGTAACATGAAATTAAGACAGAATACAGAAACCTGCTTGGTTGCTATGATACTAAACATAAATAAAAGCAGATTAAAACATGCTTCCTCAGTGCCAGTTGATGGCGATTAAAAACTGTAACAACACAAATGTGACTATAGCAAGAAAGGGGTGCTTCTGAGCAATGAAAAGTCTGTATGACATTATTTGGTATCATGAGAGTTATGAAAATATTTATTCTTCAATGAAGTTGATATAGATGGCTACACTGCACGGGGCCCTCCATCAAACCTAAAATTAAAATGTTAATATTGATAGACTTTTTTCCCCTTTGTAATATTTTGAACAAAGAAAGCATTAATAGTTTTAATGATCAGACATCTGAGTCATCACTCGAACCAGACGCCATGCAACCGTTATATCAAAACTATCTTGTATAGCATGAACCCTTTGAACACTTTAAATTAGCCTGAATAAATTCCTTTCCTTCCCAAAAGGATTTCCTATTGTAAACATATGCTCTATCACAAACTCAGCATTTTTGAATATCTCTTTCCATCTAAATAGCTCAGCTTGGTAAAGCATAATCACTGAAAAATAACATTTAAAATGATCTTATTTTCATTTTCCAGGTTATATAGTACTTCAAATTGCTGTCATCCCCTGCTATAAGCTAATAATAAAAAATGCTAGGCTTGCAAAAAAAAGTCACCAATTTCCTGAAAAAAAGAAGGAACTGCATAATAAAACCTCTGATAAGTCATTAATATCATTACAGCTATCAAAGACTTTTATTTTAGTCTCCAGAACAACTCCAAAATAGTTTTCTCCCATATGTTTCCAGAAAAAACAACAAAAAACAGCAGTCCCATAGCAGTCAAAAATTGTATACATTTTAAAGTATAGTTTGCACAAAACTAGACTTTCATTATAACACTATGTTCTGAAATACTGACATATACGTCTACTATATTTTGAATATGGGCATAATTTTAGCCCTGCGGGAGGTAACAAAGTGCATTGGGACAAAACTGCACTGACTTACTAACTGGAAGTTAATTCTGTTCAGCTTTAGCATCACTTTCTTAACGGTTTCAATTGCAGAAAGACTAACTCCATGTTTATCTCACTGCACAAAAGCAGCTTACTGCCTGAGAGACCTCATCCAATTTCTGCATTGTGTTTCTCAGACTATGTAGAATTCACGAACTGTATGAAAGAATCTTTAAAAAAAAAAAAAAAAGGGAACACCCTTGTATTTCCATTATTAAACAATAGCCACTCTTTTAGTCACTTTAGTCAAAGAAATATTAGTTAGGTATTAATTAGAAGTTTACTGTTAGAAATAAAGTATTTGATGCCAAAAAATCTATTACTCCCAGGACATATGTAAGTTGTTAGCAAGTACAATGTTTGTTATGAATTGGAAAGGAAAAACGAAAGTTTTTTTCATTTTTTCAGAAATCTAGAGATCCTTTGTCACTAAAGCACAAGAGAAAGTCTCAAGACTTCATTTAAGTAAGTGTCTTATTTTGAGAGCTTGCCGTATTGTTTTTGCAATATCTTTGTAGGCAAGAAAATCAAATTTTTTATGCTCTTAAACAAGTTCAAGTAACATAAACCATTTAGCAGTCCGAGAAAAATTTGGTGACAATAGGAACTCAAAACACGACTTTTCTATTTGCTAAAAATCTAACTGGAGTGATTGCCAAGTCTAGAAAACAAGATGCAATCTGTTCTAAATGGAATGGCATGTATGAGAATAACGTTGATGTTATGGTTAGAGAAGCATTTCTTTTTACGGTAATAGTATATTCTAAACATTTCCCTTTTATTAAAAAAAAAAAACACTTTCAGAGGTTAATGTTCACAAGGCAGAAAATATTCTGGAGAGGTATACTACATCCAAACTGTCTTCTAACACATTCTTTCCAAATAAAAATACAACAAACCATTGTGCAGAATTGTTTGAAGAGTAAATAAAAATTCTTCAGAGTACTTTCTTTCACCGCAGTTCCACTCAACTGCTTGCAAGGAAACCTGAATACTAGCTGGGAGCTTCTGTCTGTAAATACCATTGGTATGTCAGAAGATTCCTCCCTTCCCTCCCCCCCTCACTAAATTTCTCCTTAAATTACATTCAGACTTCTGCGGTACCATAACAACTTCAATATGGCATGTATTTCAACATTTTGTAAAGGTTTTATTTCCATTTCTACCTCCAGTTATTGCAGGTTTACATTTTTCATCCTAGCTACTCTGCAGGATGCACATCCTTACAATATTTATATGTGATGTCTTACAGCTTGACATGAAATACTGTGAACTACTATATCAAAGCCACATTGAGATATACATTACAGTGATATCTGGTATTATAGAACATGCAACAGACTTCCCCATCTTGTATCAGAACATGTGTTAAAGTAATACAATTCCTGATGGCAAAATAAAAGTGAGTCATGCAAAAAATGGTTGTTTTGGCTTTTAAGAGATTCATATGAATCTTCTTTCCATTCCATTCATGTGAATGCATACTCCTCAGCTGCACAGTTTGATTTTCAAGTGTAAATGAGCCAAAAATCTAAAGTAAATCTCAAACTGTTTTGCTTTGCGTGCTATGGGTCAAAATCATGTAAAACACTAAGATGCGCTTTTTTTCCTAGCTGAAATTGTAGATGATCCTAAATTGACTTGAAACCACCAAAGGCTTTCTAAAATTGCCACAAACTATTCCAGGTGTTCTAGGTATGTATTGAAATCTGGATTTGCTATACATTGCAAAAACGCAGTGCAGAGTATGAAAATTAAAGTGTATTTAGATAGGGTTTTTTAAATTAGATGTAATCTATTTGTAAGAAGAGTTGTACAGTATACTTTAAAGTTCACCTACCTCAAAGAAACTTTGCTGAGAGGTGTAAATGTCACCAGAGCTTATTTCAGTTCTTACTGGGGCACACTGTCTCTAAGTACTTTACTCCACAACCCAGTGAAAAAGATGGACTTGAAACTAACTGGACATTCACTGTAGTTACTATAAATTCAGAACATTCCTTAATTCTAGTAAAGCAGTGTAGTTTAACCAGGGCCCTCATTTCAGGATAGAATACAGCATTGTCTTTCTTTACAAACTGTTCTCCAAATTCTGCACATAATCTCACAGACTCATTAAATCGGAGCAGAATTTGCAAGATACCTACACAACGTAAGACTCTGTAGAGCATGGCTGGGAGAATATTGGCATGTTATCTATTGACAGCATTTTCTTTGTATAACTTTTATTCACCATATAAACCAATGTGCAAACACTGAAGACAGTGTGCAGCAAAAGCTTAATTAATAGATTCAATATATTGTATTACTGTGAATATATATCTAGTTACTATAGTTATTATGGAATGTGTACATGTGCGTACAAATACATGTGTGTATATTACATAGTGTTTTATATTAGGACATTTAACAAAAATTGGAACTACTCTGCTAATGTTAACAACCAGATAACAGCTAAAAAAACAGCTAAACTTTTCAAGTGAGATGCTCCTATTTGGCCTGATAACCAAGGACCGGCTAACTGGAAGTTAACTGGTAGAAGCCATGCACGTCTTCAGATTAACTGGTAGAAGCCACTTACATCAAACACCTACTTAGCAAGCCTACTAAATCCCTTCAAAGAACAGTCTTCAACAGAGTAAATGTGAAATGTAAATTTAAGAGCATTTTTTCAGTAACTTCTACAGATTCTTACCAGCTCTTGTGTATCTTGTGCTAATGGCAAAAACGTAGCTTCCAGAAGAGCAACCTGATCAGTGCTGAGCTTCTGCCACAGGCTAATCAGCATAACCACCAGATGGGTGGCACTTTTCAACTTTGTGAATGCCTGGAACACATTGGCTTGGTTTTCCTCTGCTGCATCTGCTAGAGCTATTACCTGCAAAAATCACAAACTTCTGTTAGGTATAATTTTACCATCCTTGAACACTCTACACTGAAATTGCATTTGGCACACTCTTGTTTTCCTTTAGAAGATCCTGATGAATTCTGTTTTCCACAAACACAAACCACAGAGACTATTAAGCGATTTATGATTTTTCTAGACTTTTCTTTTGCTTACCCAAGGTAATTTCGAGTCCAGACGGCAACAGGATTAATCTATTACTACAATCAATGCAGAAAGGATTCTGTTTAGTGCATATTCTATAAGGCACTCCTCACGTTGATCCCCATCATAGCACATAACACATGATAACAAACTGTAACGTTCATTTTTATACCACACATGACGCTAATCCCTATATGACCAGCAAGCCTGTTGTACTAATCAAAAGCAATACATTGATTTTATTCCATTAAAAATAGAATTTATAATCATTTTCACACGAACATAACTGCCATCTGTTATTTTATTAACTCTTGGGTCTCTCCATGTTTTGCACTAGGTGCTTCAGCATTTATGCCAAACATGAACATTACGGATCATGCTTTTTGAGGTCAATACCACTTTCACATAACTGCTGGACATTATGAAAGAATTTTCCAAATAAAATGGCAGATTCACTTCTTGACTTCTGGTGAGATGGTAGGATATGTTTACTGAGTGCTTTAAGATGGTGAAAAAACAGGAAAGCTATTACGTGATATTTTACTCATTTCAGAAATACCTTATCATTATAGACAATATTGTCCACTCACAGTAATATAAAAATGGACATTTGAAAAATATCGCTATAAATTCTTTCTTTCTTGAAATAAAATGTTCAGACATTTTCCATCACTGATTAAAAGTTAAGATGACAGTGATTTCAATATTCATTTGCTATCATTTCCAATAGCCCAACAATATATTTTCCACGCCACTCACATGGAATTATTTTAACTAAAAGAAAGGAATAAAGGTTAGTGGTTTATAGTAGGGTCTGAGCACAACTTACAGCTTTTTCTCATTAATGCCACTAGATCTTCTTGTAACCTAAATAATACTTGGCTTGCAGCAGCGCTGATTATCTTCACTGTCTTTTAAATCAACACAAAGCACTTCCCTTAACCACTTTCTCCTTCTGTTTATTTATCTACAAAACGGGGTAATAGATACTTGACTAGAGTTGTGAAAGGCCTTACAAAAATGCAGTTACAGTGTAATTAGTATTACAACAGAATTTACAAAGCAAAGCTTGCAGAGCTTGATCTATTAACATTTGGCAACGGCACGAAAATGAAAATACTATACAATGCATCTTCAGCCTGGAAACAAAGCCAACCAGCTGTTAGCATTTGGTGAAGAAAACTATTTTTAATCTGCAACACCGGCATTAGAGATGTGTGTGTGTTCCCTCCAGGTTCCCATGTGACCGGGAAGATAAAAGCACAGAGAATTTTAGGAAACCATATATGTAGCCTTTCAAACAAAATGTGCTGATAGCTTTTGTTTTAGATTTTAAAATGTAGAGTTTCCAGATAAAATGGAGAACCCACAGGACACCTCTGAGTCCAAACACTACACCCACGAGAGCCAAGTAACAAAAGAAAGGCTCAGCTAATAAGACAAAGGAATAAAGGTCTGCTCAAAAATCAATCAGAAATTAATCCCAAGTAGTGAAAACTGACATGCCATGCTTTGAAATCGATTACAGGAAAGCAACAGTATCACAGACACGAGTCAAAGGCATGAGACCTGATATAAACATGTCTGCATTCAGTTGTTTCATCTTGAAGTCACGGCATTCTTCATACCTTGCATACTACATGAAGTACCATTCCCACAATTGCAGCTACTATTCAGCACTGAGTTATGGATGACAGAGCTGCACAATATCACTATACAGTGCTCTTCATCAAGTGCCTGCATCGGACCACCGTACCCCTTAATTGTATGCACTATGCAGCTTAATCCTTCTGAGAAGGCACAAACTACAACAGCAGACAAGTTCTCTGCCCTCTGATGGGGGCCTTGGAGAAACTAATCAATCACCTTTCCTGTGCAATATGCACTTGAGGTTTCTGAGAACAAGAGTATGCTAAGATGAATTTAATACACTGATGACAACATTCATCAGTATGCTTCCTATAACATTATTGCTGGATGGGATAGTGGAATGAATAAATTCAAAAGTTCCTGGAATTTGGAATTAAGCTGTATCTATTCTGCGTAAGGCTCAGTCAATAACAGTAATGCTGAAGACACAGGCAAGAGCGATAGCAAATGCAGCTGTACTTGTGTGACAGCTACCTGAACTCCATTTACCCAATACAGGTAAAGGAGACGACCTAGATCGAGTCACTCATGAATTCCTAGATGGTCTCTCATTCTGTGCTATACTTAAACTTATTCCATACTGTATCCTTTTGAAGCATAAATAAAAAGTTATTGACATGACCTTTTGCCTTAAGAATCCTCCACTTTAGAATTTGCTTTCCTTCCATTTACAACTATGTACAAAGGAGCAGATGCTCACCTCTTCACAGTCTATAGATCTAAGTACGTATGTCCCAGGACTCCCAAACAACACCTAGTATCCTAGGCCTATAATCCATTTTGAAATCAGCTTTATGCAAAATGTAAAAAGTCATATTGTCAAAAAATGTTGTCTTTGGTACAAAATTGCACCGTTCTAAAAGGCACCATTTTACAAGACAAATCCTACACCAGTGACAGGCCTAACTTTCTAATGGAGAAGTGTGGTCTTGGAGCATTGCACACCACTCAAACATAGAACAAAGAAATCTTTACACAATTGCATAAATGAGTTCTACTTTACACTTACAGGGAAACCAAAGGAAAAAAATACTTTTAAGTACAAATTATTCTGCTTGCAGATAAAGAATTGGCCTAGCTTCATGAGTCCTAGAACATCCAGGAAAACACAATCTTAATTTCTGTAAGATAATGAAGATACACACTACCATTCTAGTTTAAAAACTCCAGGCTCTACCACAGATAAAGCAAAGATTACCAATACTGCATCCCTTGAGATACGCTGAGAACGGGAAGCCACAGAAACAAAGAAGAGACTAAAGATACTTTGACAATATACATGGCACCACTCTCAGCTTTTAAGATGTAAAAAAACATGTATACATCTTTCATCAGAGGAAAATTACTTTAAACAATTCCCGAGACATCAGCTATAAGTTTTAGAAGTGTTCTGAGGTTTTCACTCAAACACTTGCAGAATTTAAGGAAGAATAACTTCTAAAAATATTTTCTAATAGCCACATTTTTATCTTCACCTGTGCATTATCTCTAATAATATTTTACAAGAGGTGAGGGAAATAAAGAATCCTTGTCTTTGCAGACTGAGATCCCAGTCTCCTCAGATCCAGCCATGGTTTCTCAATAATTTACCAACTATGCCTTTGTTTTTTATGGCAATTGTTTAATCTATTTAGTTAAGAACTCTTTTACTGTCTTTGTAAACAGATATAAAATAACAAATAAACGGAATTCTCTCCCTGTGTATTTTATTTCTTCAAGGGATAAGTAAGTGGAAAAAAAAATTAGAAGTGTCAGCCCCAAATGCAGCTTAGATGATGCAAAAATTTTAATCCAATTGGAAACTATCAAGTAAAAAGTCTATGTGCATAGCATAAGGCATATAATTACCAATTCAACTTTTTCCTTTCCCCTTGTTTCTTAATATCACAAAGCTTTCAAACAAAAGATAGCTTAAAAAAAAAAGTTTCACAAACCTTCATTTTTAAAGTAGTGGAAGAAAGGAAAGTGGCTGTCACAGAAAAAAAATCTAAGAGTTACTGGAATGGGTTGAAAGTACAGTATTTAATATATATTTTTACAACTGGCCAAAACTTAATTTTCATTTACACCCCTTTTTGTTTAAATTTTTCTGGCTGACCAAATTCTCACTCTGTTCCAATACACCTATCTACAGCAAAGTACAGACCAGTAAAAAAGTTATTAATGGAAGCATATTGTAAAAACCAAAGAAAAAAGAACTAGAGAGTAGCTACTCTCTCATTTGAGAGTATATGTTTAGCAGATTTCTATTAAATTTCATATTTGCAGTTGGCAAAGGCAAAGGTATAGAGCTGAAATCCAGAATCCTGTTTTCATAATCTCTTGAGATTATCCCATCAACACTAATACCAAGATTTGACTGCAATGATTTTCAAGCACAGAACATTTCTCATGTTTCCAGTATAAAGTGTTCAAGCAGGCAAATATTTCTTTTCATGCTTATTTCATTGCAAAGTAGACCTTATAAGATGTCAAGCAATTAAAAACTGTAAACCCATGGTAATTCAAGTTCAAAAAATTTTTTCAGATTTCTTCATTATTAGCCCTTTACATATATATATCTTTAGTGTAGTGTTTAGCATCCTGCAGTAATAAAATTACTAATCCCTTTCGAAAAATTCTTACAACATACCCACTCTTGCATGTTCAAACAAGTTGCTTGGGGCTATAATGAACATTACCCTCTCAGGCTCACTGCTACTGGAAGAATACAACTTCTATCCTTATTAGCTGACTAGGAAGTTTAAGAAAACTCTTTTAAAACGTAGAGGGCAAGAAATGAGCATGAAGTTCCATCCAACTCTCTTTTGAGCAGGTAGTGTATTTTCTTGGAGTCCTTAACACCGCAGGGACTGAAGGCTCTCACAGGTTTTACGCCAGATTCTAAAATGGAGAACAGGAAACGGAGAAAAACAGATATGACTGACAATTTGTTTGCTTTTCACAACATCCAAGAAAAACATAACTGTTCACCACTGGTGAAACTTAAGCCAACTAGTCTTATTCTCATCAATTTCTATCATGCTGTGTTCAACTTCTGGTAAGTTTGAAGCGTCTTCGTTTTCAACAGAAACGAAGTTTGAAGAGAGCAGCAGTTTGGAATTCAAGGGATACAGGATTTCTCATATATAGCATTTAGGAGCAAGTCTTCTATGTCAAATCCTTAAAATACAAAAAAC